ATTTTTTTTTTTTTTCTTTGATACCCAGGTGTCCCAACTTCGCCAGACTAAATCCTGGACCCCTAGCCACCGGCCCCCTAGCCACCGGCCCCTCAGTGACTAGCGGAGGTAAACCGCAGGTTGTGCCCTTGTTGGATCACAGGTTCCCACCCGGTCTAAACTCCTGACCTCAAGAGAGCTTTCCTCCATAGTGATTAATCCACTAATAAATTGCCCCTTTATTGGATCAAAGGTTCCCACGAGGAATCGAACTCTCTACGCTGAGGTTGTAAGCGCGCCAAAAGTGATTGATCCACCAACTCGGATGTGCCCTGAGGGGCATATCATTGAATTTACTTAAATGAAGAGACGTATTCATTTGTCAAACTCCTTTTATAAATTCATTGATATAAGAAGCGATCTCCAACAAATTGATGTACAAATATATACGAATTATGCTTATTGTACAATGATTTTTACAACACTACTAAAAAACAGCTTTTCATCTACGAAAAATTACAAACAGATTTCATCCGTTGGTGATTAAAAACGGATTATCCGTTGGTAAAAGTAATTCACTTTTAGCTACGATAATTAGCAACGAATTTTCCGTTGGTAAAGATGATATCTCTTTACCAACCGATATTCCGTGTCTAGAGCCTGTTTGGGCCCCATTTTTTATCCAAAAAATTAATTTTTTGACCGTTATTTTACTATTTCAGCCGTCATATTTAACTTCTTCTTTCACAGGTGGACCCTACTTTTCTCCTAACGGTCAAAAAATCAATTCTCAAAATCACTCCCAAACAGGCTCCTAATGTAATCGTTTAACATTTGGATCTTCTTCCAATGGATATTCCGTAGGTGATATACCGATTATTACCAACGGATGCAATTCGTTGGTAATTAGAAACAGATTGGTAAAAATAATTCACTTTTAGCTACAATAATTAACAACGAATTTTTCGTTGGTAAAGATTATATATCTTTACCAATGGATATTCCGTGCCTAATATAACCATTTAACATTTTGATCTTTTATCTATGGATATTCCGTTGGTAATTAAAAACGGATTATCCGTTAGTAAAAATAGTATCTCTTTACCAACGGATATTCCGTGCCTAATATAACCGTTTAACATTTTAATCTTTCAACAACGAATATTCCGTTGGTAATGAGAAATGGATTATCCATTGGTAAAAATAATTCACTTATCCCACATCGAAAGTTTACAACAATATTTTTATAGTTGCCCTCTATAAATTTGTGGTCCAATAAGGAGTTAAACAATATTTTGGCCTTTCAATTCAATTGGCTAAAAATAAAAAATATATATTATAATTATTAAATAAATAACTTTTTTCCATACAGTCATTTACAACATTGATTTTTATCAATTGTAATGATAGACATTTACTAACGGAAAGTCGGTTGGTATTGGTTAAGACTTTTACCAACAAAAATTTCGTTGGTAAAAGATTCACATTTTACCAACAGAAAATCCGTTGGTAAAATGTTTACTCTTTAACTACGGCATGATCCGTTGGTAACTATCAACGACCCTCAAATTACCAACGGATTTTTTGTTGCAAATATTCCATTGGTGAAAATTATTAACAACGGATATTGAGACTTTAGGAACGGAAAATTCGTGCCTGAAACTCTGTTTTTTAATAGTGAAATTTGATAACATGCTATGTGACAAGTTATCATTGGACAGTTTGAAAAATAGTTTATCTTTCCTATCAACACTTTTTTGACACCTACATCATTGTCAAGCATGTTGTACAAATCCATTGTACAAATGACTAATTCCAATATATACCAACCTAAGTAATTACACTATTTTTCATTGAAAGTTTTTATTGGCACAAGATTCAATAGTTTAACTAAAACTATAAAACAATTTGTCGTCTCTATAAAGATCATAGTCGACAACATGAAAACAAAGTGGCGTCGTCCATTTGATTACCTATATCCCCAAAAAATAAAAAAAAAATAAAAAAAGAAAAGAAAGAAGATGTGCCATCGTCCATCATTAATTTTGCCCATGGTGTCAAAAAATTTGTCGATAAAATTTATAACAAAAGGAAACTTGTTAGACGAAAATTTGGAAGATATTTTTGAAATAGGGAAATTAACCCATAGATATTGGTTCCTGCCAGTGATTACGACCATATATGTCAACATGCAACTACTTAAATGGAGTTTGTAAATCTTTTGGTATAGTACTTCTAAATTGAAATGAGTGATTTTTATTCAAAAAAAAAAAAAATGAAATTAAACTTAAAAATACACATTATTTGTACGATTACCAAGACGAAGATGACAGCAACAACAACAACAACAACAACAACAACAGTAGTAATAATAATAATAGAACATAGTTAGGTGCTTATTTGTTAGGAATTTTGATAACTGATTTTTTGACCGTTAAAGATAAAATGAGTTCTACATGTAAGAGAAGAATTAAAAAAAACTGATGGAATAGTGAAATAACAGTCAAAAATTTGATTTTAACTGACATAAAATATGTACCAAACAAGCACTAGTCGTTAAAAAATCATGAGATGGAGGAGACGATGTGTTGTTAGCGATGGATTTTTTGTTGATATTATTGAATCTTCAATTTTTATTACTATGTTTATTTGCAGAATTTCTGTAGTACGTTATAATGACGCAAACATCTATCAATATTCTTAAATTACTTTTAAAATTTTATTTTGTCAAGGACATACTTATGTCTGGTTAACGAATTATTAATACTATAATCGTCCCCCCCCCCCCCCCCCCCCCCCCCCCCCTTCCAACGGGCCTAATAATATTATGAAAGTCAAACTTATTTCCTAATGACACCATATATGTTCTTAAATAAGGATCCAATAACCCCTTCTTTTTTTTTTTTTTTTTGGAAATATCAGTAATATGTCGGCAAGTCAATTTGTGATTTCGGCACAATGATTCTAATAACTATAATTTTCTAAGAGCGAGAAGTTCCTAAAGTTACACGTTTGACAAGGAAATAGTCTGGAAATGGGTGTCTCGGTGGAGTTCGTGTACCACTGTCCAATATTCTTCTCACATGACATCAACCTATTCTATGATTAATTAGAGCTTAATATTATTAATTAAATTAATTTATAGATTGCAATCACACTAATACCTCTTTTTGTGGGTATCCAAATGACCTATATAACATAGGGATGACAAAATATTTCGATCATGCTCTGACATTATCCATCCCGTGTTTGGAAAATGATGTAGGGACAAAAAATATGGTTCTTATCCTGAAGTTGCCCCGATTCTCTTTCTTTTTTTTATTTTTTTTATATCTATAAAAGGAAATTGTTTTTAAGAAGATGAAAAATAATATAAAAAATAAATACATATGTAAATAAAACGAAAAATGGAGATATTCTAATGATTATTTAATTCTAACTTCCTTGCCCTTTCTAAAATGTTGAACTCCAACCTTGAGAGCTCCCACCGTACCGCCCCTAGAGCATCGTAAGAGAGATAAATCGCGGGACGTGCCCTAACAAATCAAGAAATAAGAGTTTGCCCGTATATTGGTGCCCACAAAAAGTCAAATTCCATATCTCAGGAATCGAACTCTCACACTGCGACCGCCAATAAGGCTGAGACTACCTCACTCCTGTCATTTGCACCACTGAGTTATATCCCTAGGAATGACAAAATATTTCGATCACGCTCTGACATTAGGGTGGGTTGTACACTTGTACTCGGAATTTCTCTCTCTCTCTCTTTTTGGGATGATAGTAACAAATTTGCCAAATTTGATTCCGATCTAAATAACTCAAACTACAATAAATCAATTCCTTGTTTTATTTTTCATTTTGACATTTTTTAATATGTTAAATTGAATAAGATCAACAAACAAAGAGTAAAATATATGTCTTTTATCGTGATTGAGTCTATCTATTTTGTCGTATTGATTTGATGTCCAATACGGTTGATTTATAACCTTGAAAAGCAAGTATTCAAGTAGGTAACCAATTTGGTTTCTACTTCAACTTAGATTATTCCAAAAGTCATGATAATGCTTAAACATTAAACAAATTATGTACCCGGCATCAACAGTAACACTATTTTCAAATGTAAATTTTTTTGTCAACACACGAGTCAATGATTAAATCAAAACAATAAAAACTTTTTTTATCAGGACATTATAATTAGGGATTCCTTAACAATGATTTTTAATTAAAAAAAATGAAAGAAATGTGTTTAAAAAGTTGATAAAAATTATGAATATTGTGAAATGTATGGTTAAAATTGAAGATGTATATTAAAACATTAATAAAGTTTGCACTTTGCACGTTTGGTGAGGAAATAGCCTGGAAATAGGTGTCGTTGTGGATGTCATGGACCATTCTTACAAACTGTACAAAATTAAGAATAAGACCAAATTAATCAAACCTCAGCAGCTTCGTACAGTAGTCTTTGTGTCCACGCATCTTGAATTCCACTCAAATTAACAATAAATATGAGAAATTTTGACTATTCCTAAATTGCATCAATGTCTCCAACTAACCTAAAAATGTTTATTTGAATGTTAAAAGATTATGTGACGCTTACATGTTATCAAAACGAACAGTAAAAATCATCCAAAATGGTTTTAGTTATTCCTAAACAATTCAAACAATAACTTCCACTTTCATTTAGATTTCCGAAAGGAAATTTCTTTGTCATCATGAAACATATCTTCATGCTTCAACTTATCCATGACATTATAGACGCAACAAATAGTAGTTTGGGAACATCAGTATCACACTTATAAACGATTTATCCCTTGTTAAGTATCATTTTTTTTTAAAATAATTTTTTCTCTAATTTATTTTAAATCACACATTCTATGTAATTCATAACTTCCATTAACTTTTCAATTGAACATTTCATTAATTTTTTATTAAAATCTACTAAGTATTTGATTTTAAGTAAAACCAAACAAGGCCTTAGAACCCTGTTCGAATTTACACTAATATATAAATAATGAAATGAATTGAAAATCCAAAACGATGCTTCCTGTTTCCAGCTAAGAACGCTCGTATGAAACCTCGCAAAGAACAGTACCCTCGTCAAAAATTTCATACCTTTATAAACAAACCTTTCTCAGTCCCTTATATTCCACTCAAAAACAGCAACTTTGAATGGCTTCTTTATCTGATGATTGTTCAACTCTTGAAATTATACAACAACATCTTCTTGATGATTTTGCCTTCATGGAAAATTATTGCCCAGTTTCCAGCTTTTCAGAGTCCCAGATATCTCGAACTTCAAGCAGTTCAAGTTCTGTAATCTCTGATCTCACAACTGAATCTTCCATCTTTAAACCAAATTTCAGCCTTGAAAACTCAACAAATGATTATGATTTCTCAGAATTCGAAACAAAGCCTGTAAAACACACAAACTTTAGTGAAAGGAAGCCTTCGTTGAATATTCATATTCCTCATGTGAAGAAATTGGAGCGGGACAGTACAGTTAAGGTGGTGGAGAAGAAAGTTGAAGATTCTGGCGAGAGGAAGCGGTATAGAGGAGTCAGACAGCGGCCATGGGGGAAGTTCGCGGCGGAGATACGCGATCCTAACCGGAAAGGGACTCGGGTTTGGCTAGGGACTTTCGAGACGGCCGTGGAGGCGGCGAAGGCTTACGACAGGGCGGCGTTTAAGCTGAGAGGGAGCAAAGCAATAGTGAATTTCCCACTTGAAATTACCAACTCCAACCCTCCTCTGCCGGAAAATACTGAACGGAAAAGGGTGATAGAAGAGGAAAGTCTAGAGAGAAAAACAAAGGTGGTAAAGAGAGAAGAAGTTGAGAATGATAAAATTGGAGCCTCCCCGGCTGTGCCACTAACGCCATCAAGTTGGACGGCGGTTTGGGATTCTGGCGATATGAAGGGTATATTTGATGTGCCGCCGTTATCTCCATGATCTCCACATCCAAGTTTGGGTTATTCAAAATCAAGGCTCACGGTTAATTAATTTTGGGGCTTAAAATTGTGTTTAATTACTTTATTAGATTAAAAGATGCACCTGCTTAAAAGTTGGGGTGAGTTAGTGATTTAGAGAAGTACAAGGGTGAGATTTGTAATTTCATGTGTTTTTTAATTCAATGTGCATACTGGGTTATTAGTTTGAGATTTCGTTTATTCATTTGTACGAGAGATACAATGGCAATCGTGTTACTTTTATTAAATTTTTAATTTTTCTTTTGTCAAAAAGCATAATTTTCAGCCATCAATTCCACAAGCTTTGAATTTATAATTGCACCATACATATATTATCTATATAAAATAGACACAATTTTTTGAACTTTTTTTTTTTTTTGCCTTTTAATACTGGACATTCATATGTTTACTTTACTAAACAACTCATTATCATTTACGAAAATTTAATGGCATTTGCATTGTCGAAAACTCACATGAATTAGTTTAAGACACATACGTATTGTGCACGAATTCTATTCTACTAGATCACTAACGAGACGCGATAAGTTGATAGCGATGAGTAGAGAAGAATAATTGATTAGATAAAATGTGCGTGCACTACCCAATTTTATTTTCCTTCATAAAATATATTAGTATAGTTTAAAAGCGTTTTTAGTTCAATTTTGATTCCATCTTTGATGCATGTAATAAAATCTTTTAGACTTCACAAAATAGGATATGAGCGAGAAATATCTAAAATTGTAGCCAGTCGAGTAAATACTGTGTAAATCTTATATTTCCGCGATAACCTAAATGAACTTTTTGAATAAAATATAGAGTAAAACTTACCCCATATGAAGTGGTTCTTGGTCTCATCGTAATCCATAGACTATTATTGGCAGCAATAACAAACTTCTTCAACCTTCAATAATCCTTACATAATGCTTCCTAGTTTTTCTTCTCACTTAAATGCATCATCTACGAAAGGTCAAGCCTCGCATGCTCCTACAACATGAGCTATTTAAATAGATCTTATTAAAGAAAAAAAGTCAATCAAATTAGATTCAATTGAATACTGTATTTTATGTACTAATTGCATGTTTGGTGTTTCAAATTAGATTCAATTGAATACGGTTGATGAAGAAAAATTAATTTAAATCTTATCTATCATATTGTACTAGAGTCGTGAATATATTCTCTTAGTGGTAGTAATTAATAAAATTTCTGATTGATAGCATATTCTACTATAATTTTGTCGAGTAAAAATTTTGAAATACTCCAACATGCTCTACTTATCTTTTATATTTAACACTTAAAATATTAATTTAAAGAATTATTTGGAGCATAATTTTTTAAGTGTTGATATTTTAAAATAGAAAACATCTTATATTTAAAGAGTATCTTGGAGATGCTCTAATAAATTTGCAAGTTGAACCAAATCTTGAGAAAATAAAATAAAATTGTAATAAGATTAGTCTAAAAAAATGTTAGAGATTAATTAAGCGTGTTTAATTTTATTTTATCTAAAGCTAAAGTCTGTGGGTGGTTGTGATATTTTTAAATCGGATGATAATATCGTTAATAAGTAATAAATTAGTAAGACAAATATCATCTCAAGGGGATTGATTAATCTATAAACACAACATAGCCACTAATATGTATAAAAATTCATCCAAATAATTAAATATTAAATAGATTTTAGATTCTATATAAGCGTGTAAAATATCCTTATCATAGATTAATTAGTAGGAAGCTCTTACAAATTGGTTCTAATGGTGAATTCTATCAAAAAATATTTGTTATAATTGGTATCAAAACAGATCACTCCTTTTTATGGGAACTTGTTATGTAAATGTCAACTTGAAAATATCTACTTATTATAATAATAATAATAATAATAATAATTAAAAAAAAAAAAGGAAGAAGAAGAAGAAGAAGATCGACTCTGTAAAGTCGCCCAATTAAGGAGAATAAGTTGCCGTAAAAATCGATTCAATGTGTTTTGAAGTAGTATTACTCAACTAGGAATGATGATTAAACATCGAAATCTAGCCCATTGACAAGTGGTTCCATCATAATCAAACATATAAAGCAGTCCCTTGGACCAGCATGTTGGCCTGGCAGGATTCTATTGCGCAGCCGCTAGAAAACAAAACATATTGTCCACTTAAAGTTATCTTTTTCTATCCAAAGATCTTATCGACTGATTGTGAATTTGATTCCCCCGTAATTTTCAGATTTAAAGATTAATTAATTAGCAATCTTGCATTTAAACATGCGGTGCCGACTTCAAGTCTCAAGGACCGACGCATGCGATCGCTTCATGTGTCAAGAGTGTCCGACAAATCTTTTAATCATTAATATCGTATTATGTGAAACAATAATAATGAATAATACGAAATCGACAGATGAGAGAGTAAAAGAGAAAGCATCATATTTATATAATTTAACGATATGCTTATACCCACGTGAGCAAAGCCACTATGAAATAATAAGGTTATAACATATACATACTAATTCTAGCCCGTACGAGATATTAAGAAAAATCGAACAATACTTTTACTTTGTACCATCGTTCGGCTCAAATAAATTAATGTTCATGAATCTATCCCCTTCATTCAAATGATACCCAATATCATGTGACCATTTAACGCTCAAATAAACATATTTTGATAGTTTAGGTCATTGATGCCATAATTTTACAAGGTTGAGGATACAAGTGTAACAACAGATAGATTGATGACATAGATGCCACACTTACAATAGGTCAAGAACCCTTAGTATAATTTAATCTTTGTTAAAGTCAGTGACCTACGCATAAACAAGCCACAAATTCTTCGTTAAGAGATTCCATTCAAGCAATTTTCTAAATTTAAGCTACAAATATGTCAAATTCTCTTCAAAACAACTCTAACTTAAAGTATTCAAGTTTCTTCTACCATCATCCTCTATGTCCGACAGTTGAATAGGCTGACAAAATTGTTAAATTTCATATATTTTACAGGTAACAATTAAGTATAAATTAGTCAAGAGAGTAGTATATATCTTTTATAAATCTTAATTCGTACGGAAAAGCTGTAAGTATGCAAGGATTCCAACTCTCAATGCTGCCCGTGAAGATTTATGAAAGGCTTAGGCCCTGTTCTCTTTACCGTTTTCAGGTCGTTTTCTGTTTTCGATTTTTCAAAACGGTGAAAACGCGTTCTCTTTCCCATTTTCGAAAATGAATTTTCGAAAACGAAAAAAAATTTGTGAAGAAAACACAAAACGACTTTTTTGTCGTTTTGGACGTTTTCAGTGTAAAACTTGAAAAAATTGAAAACGCGGGAAACACTTTTTTTTTTTTTTTTTTTTTGAGGAGGTGGTGTGGTGATTCTCAAAATTTCAAAAAAAATTAAAAATTAAAAATTTTTTTTTTTGAGGAGATAGTGTGGGGATTCTCAAAATTTAAAAAAAAAATTTTTTTTTTTTTTTTTTGGTGTTTTGAGGTGGTGTTGTGGTGATTCTCAAAATTTGAAAAAAAAAATTTTTTTTTTTTTTTTTTGGTGTTTTGAGGTGGTGTTGTGGTGATTCTCAAAATTTGAAAAAAAAAATTTTTGTTTTTTGTTTTGAGAAACTAACAAAAAGAACGCATTTTCAACCATTTCAAAACAAACACTCAAAACACAAAACTCAAAATGAATTCAAAACTCAAAACACAAAACTGAAACACAAAGAGAACACCCCCTTAGTTTTTTGTTATCAATTTTTTGTGTAAAAATCAACTTTATGTACAAAATCTATCTAAAGCCTGATTTGGCTTAGCTAAAATAATATATAAGATTTTAAGTTAAAATTAACAATTAATTTTAACAACACATTTTATGTGATTCATAACTTTTATCAATTTTTCAATCACATATCTTATCAACTTTTTTTTTTTTTTAAATTCACTAAGAATTTTATTTTTTGCAGAATAAAAAAGGGACTAAATTGCAAAGGGCAAAATAGTTGTTTGTTATAATTTGTTTTGACAAAAGCTAGTATAGATTTTAAAAGTTCAAACACCTTAGGTTTGAAAAAATCTTTTAGTTTCCCATGTACTTTGATTAGAAAATCACAAAAACTAGAGTCCTTTTAGTACTGCGTGTTTAGTAATTCTTTAATTTTATATATTGTTATATTTATATATTATGTGGCATGCACAGGCCGACGGGATACTACATTCGTTGATTCGACATTGATTATTTAATTGTATTGGGCCAATTAATCAAGTGGACTTGGACTTGGATCTGGTCCAGTGTCTCATGTCAGCCCATTTCTCTCCCATGAGCCAATTCAAATTTCAGGTTTTATGTTTTATAATTCAAAACTCAGGTGATAATTAAAAATATTAAGGTCGCAATTATACAATTAATGATCACATACGAACTTATAAGTAATAATTTATTTATTGATCACATATTATCAAATTAATTGATCACGGATTATTTTATGGCCACAATTAAAAATTTTGATAGGTCACAATTTATTTATTGGTCACAGATTTTCAAATTAGTTGGTCACAAATTATCGAATTTTTAAATCACAATTAAATAGTTGTTCACATACCAATACCATCACGGCCACTTATGACGACCATTACCATCACAGCCTAATAGAGCCATCATTACCAACACTGCCCCATAGCCAGCAACACAGACTCAACAACCCACCAACACCGCTGGCCATTTTACTCCATTTTACTTTCGACAATGAATTGGGTGCGGTGGCAATACAACCTTACCACCACAATCACCGTTTCCAACAAACTTCCATTTTCAACTTCAAAACCATCAACAAATCACCATTCTCAACTACAAACCACCATTGCCACCATCAAACTACCACTATCAGTTCTATCGCTAGATTCAACAAAAACCAACCCAGTTGTCTAATCCACCGTCACCGTTACCGCCAACAAAAATTACAGCCACCACCATATTCAACAAAACCATTGCCACTGCCTCTGCCACCACCTTCACCTCAAATTCCCACAAAAAAATCTCCAAATTTATCCTCAAAACCACTGCCGCCACTTCAAATCACAACCCACAAAATACAAACAAAACCACAAATTTCATCGACGCTCAACCAAAAATATCAGAAAAGTAGTTGTTCGGAGTGGAGGTTGTTCGCCACCAATAGTAGTAGCGTCAAGCAACATCCTTCTTAGAGCGCCACTTGTGGGGAGGCGTCGTGCCACGCAACGTCGACAATGTCGTGAGTGGCCGAGCGTTTCTTCGGTGGT